ACGCTGGTTACGCTGGTTACGCCGAATACGCCGATTACGCTGGTTACACTGGTTACGCTGGTTACGCTGATTACGCTGCTTACCCTGATTACGGTGTAGACGGTGTAAACGGTGTAAACGGTGTAGACGGTGTAAACGGTGTAGACGGTGTAGACGGTGTAAACAGTGTAGACGGTGTAAACGGTGTAGACGGTGTAGACGGTGTAAACGGTGTAAACGGTGTAGACGGTGTAAACGGTGTAGACGGTGTAGACGGTGTAGAAGGTGTACACGGTGTAAACGGTGTAGACGGTGGAAACGGTATAGACGGTGTAAACGGTGTAGACGGTGTAAACGGTGTAGACAGTGTAAACGGTGTAAACGGTGTAGACGGTGTAAACGGTGTAAACGGTGTAAACGGTGTAGACGGTGTAAACGGTGTAAACGGTGTAGACGGTGTAAGCGGTGTAGACGGTGTAAACGGTGTAAACGGTGTAAACGGTGTATGGTGTAAACGGTGTAAACGGTGTAGTTGGTGTAAACGGTGTAAACGGTGTAGACGATGTAAACGGTGTAAACGGTGTAGACGGTGTAGACGGTGTAGAGTGTGTAAACGGTGTAGACGGTGTAAACGGTGTAGAGGGTGTAAACGGTGTAGACGGTGTAAACGGTGTAGACGGTATAAACGGTGTAAACGGTGTAGACGGTGTAAACGGTGTAGACGGTGTAAACGGTGTAAGCGGTGTAGACGGTGTAAACGGTGTAAACGGTGTAGACGGTGTAAACGGTGTAGACGGTGTAAACGGTGTAAACGGTGTAGACGGTGTAAACGGTGTAGACGGTGTAAACGGTGTAGACGGTGTAGACGGTGTAAACGGTGTAGACGGTGTAGACGGTGTAAACGGTGTAGACGGTGTAAACGGTGTAAACGGTGTAGACGGTGTAAACGGTGTAAACGGTGTAAACGGTGTAGACAGTGTAGACGGTGTAAACGGTGTACCGAAAAATCGTGGACACTGATTGCGCCAGCAATGCATTTATTACTATAGGCTATAGGACACTTTGACGCAGTACCTGGGGAGCTACGCCTTGAAGCTTGGGGGTCCAGAATCATGACAACTTTTCTAGCGGTGTGTCTTCGTTCTGTTTGGGAAGCGGATCCTACACGACGGACTGTGGAGCTGCAACGCAACTCTGCACCCTTTTGGCATCCCAAGTTTCCAATTGGCGATTGGACTTGGAAAAGGCCCCAATAGAGCATTCTGATGAGCAAGCACGTTGGCTGTATGACTCAGGCATGGAGCCCCTTGGATGTGTAAATCAATCCATGCTTCTTGAGCTGGACCTTTTGGGGGGGGTTGGAAGGCCAACATGTTTTTTAAAGTCTGATGTGGTTCACATGAACTCAACGCTTAGGTGCTCCAACATGTGTAGCAACTACCTGCTATGCAAATCTGGCAACGTTGCTGAGAGCCACAAGTCAAATCTCTTCTTGGGACACATGCCAGCACCTGAGAAAGTGCCACACAACAAATTAGCGTCTCAGCAGGCAGAGTGTACATTCACAGTGCTTGTGCGCTTGTGCTTGTCTTTTGTTGGTTGTGTACTGTGTTGGTGTTTGTGGCTGTGCTTTGTCACTGTGTGTGTTTGTGTGTTTGTGTGTGACTGTGTGCTTGTGGCTTGTCTGCTTGCGGTTGTGCTTTGCGCCTCTGTCTTGTGGCTGTGCTTTGTTGGTTGTGAATTGCGTGTTTGTGGTTATGTTGTGCGGTTGTGTGTTGTGCCCTGACGTCCGGTAGTGCCACTGCGATCTTGCGCTTGCTGTTGAGGTCCGAGACTGCCCACTGCGATCTGGCACTTGCTGTTTAGGTCAGAAGGAGAAGGAGAAGGAGAAGGAGGAGAAGACCATCTGTAGGTCATTGTAGAAATCTAACAACCCTCACCTGACAGTTGAGGAACAAAAGAAGCCCTACGGCCCTCTTGATCGTGGGTGAGCAAAACTGAGAAGATAAAGAAGCTTCCACCAAACTCGCTCGTAGGGTTTCGCTTTCTGGGGGCATTCAATTGAAAGAGTCCTCTGCCTTTCCCCGCATGTACCAAGGGCTCCTCTGTCTGGCCGATGGTGGCCATTGCATTGGCGATCTGGCTGAGATCCCGCGGCGCCACATCCATCAGCCTCAGCGCCGCTCAGTCATATGACCACATAAAGCAAGCCACCACAGGACCAAATGAGTTTTCATCTCAACGAGTTAAAGAACTGACAGAGCTTCAAGAACAGAATCATTTGATGTCTATCACAACAAAAAGTGATTCCAATCGGGTTCCCGGGTTCAGGAACGTGTCCCGCTGAATCTGAAACTTGATCTGATCTCCTGTGATTGCACATTCTCTTGAATAAGTTGAATGCCACACACACACACACTCTCCCCCAAACGCAACATGTGGCCTAGAGTCTACTCCTGCTGTGAGGTCTCACTGATTTCGGTTTGAATCTGGGACGGAGCACTTGAGAACCAAGGTGAAACCTTTATGTAAGAACAAGGCTGCTTTAAAAAGAATGCCTGCAGAGCAAAACAATTTGCGCTGAACCACCACTGCTCGGCCCACCTTAAAGAGAGCTCTGCTGCAGAAGTCGTAAAAAAGGATCTGGCCTCAGGTGTCAAGTGGACTCAACCTTTCAAGTTCTGACTGCACTATAAGAATCTATAGGGTGTTATGTATGACTATAAGTAGCTACTGTATTTTATCATCTTATGATTCTGATCTCTAATGATAATGCTTTTGAGCATTGTATCCACTTGGATGACCACCTTTGTAGGCCCGAGTTGGTGGATTGTTTCGATGAAATCCTGTTCCTCCTGGGTACCGTGTTGGTTAATCAAGAAGAGACCAAAGGTTCAAAGGTCCACTCCGAACATCTCAATCACGGCTGTCTGGCTTTGTGCACCAAAGAATCACCAAGAAAACTAGGAAAGATGTGGGAGTTGATCTAAATTTCTTTATCCGGGATCCGTCATTTTCTCCGAAAAAAATTACTTTAGCAAAACTTTCGCCTTCCTGCGTTTTATCTTTCGCCGAAGTATGTTGTATTTATGTGTGCCATGTATGTTGTGTTTTGTTCACGTCAATGGCAATGGCTTCAAACACAAAATAGAAACTTCACTGTTTGTCAGCATGTGTCTTCTACTTAACTGTTGACACCCTGTACGTCTCTTTTGTTTCTCCTGGGTGTCAGCAAGAATCAAAATTGCAAGAATCACTGTGGTAGCCGGTCACTCAAACTTACTCATAATGGGCTGGGGGTCAGATGTGGCAGGGTGAACTTTCGCCAATCTTGAGCTGAACTTTCGCCCAACTTTCGCCTTTTGCGGGGTAGAGTTTTGTGGCAAAGCCACCCCCCCAATAGTAGTAGTAGTAGTAGTCGTCGTCGTCGTCGTAGTAGTGGTGGTGGTAGTGGTGGTAGTGGTGGTAGTAGTAGTCGTAGTAGTAGTAGTAGTAGGAGCCGCAGCAGCAGCAGCATCAGGTGATCTAACTTCCACAGCTCATCTAACTTCTGAGTCACTGCCACCAGCTGTTCAGGAAGCAAATAAACATTCATACAAAGTTAAGTACATATTTAATCTTTCGCCAGATCTTTCGCCAAAAACAAATTTACTTTCGCCAACTCGAGAAAAAACTTTCGCCAAATGAGATTTTGATATGTTCCGGGTCATCGTCATACACAATGCTGTCTAGGACCTTTAGATCGACAACCATGTGTTTTCCCTCTGTACACTCAGTGGAAGCACTCAAATTAAGCAATCCAAAAGACGCGCTGCTTACTGTTTGTGAGGGCTGGCCTGTGCTAAATGCTTAGGCAGCACTTTGGGCCCTGAACCTTTTGGCATCTCAGCCACCAGTGGAACAAAGGAATGACAGCAAACCCGTCTTGAAGTGACAAAGTCCGGGCCGTCAAACGTCCTCGGAGAGCTTTGGCTTTCCGTCGGCATCGCTGCCTTGAGATGCATTCTTTGCCAGAAACGAATCGCTGCAGGAGCCGGGGCAAGGGAGGGACCAGGAAGTGGCATCATTTAAAACAGGTAATTGTGTAGACAGGCCTGGCTTCGTGATTGGACATTCGTGAATTTGGCGTCATGCACTAGGCCTAGGCAGGGTAAGGATTTAGAGTTGCAGGTTGAAGAAAGTACTTTTGGCAGTGGAATTGAACTCCGCAAAGGATACGTTTGTCCACATTTAGGCACCCAGTTGGTAGAGGAAAGACATAGAAACTGAGAGAAGAGGGCTTTCCAGCAGTTTTGGGCGGTGACCATTGTGACCTACATAAAGACCTCTCAAGATTGTACAGTCTGTTGCGTGTATTTTGTTACGGCCCCGGCAAAAAAGACCCACACATGTTACAGTATATCATATCATAGTCGTTTCAACCCCGGATCTCGGACAGTTTCATGGATCCATTGGCTGCCCAAGCCACCGCTCACGGCTGCAGCCCAGTTGGCCAGCACAGCCAAAATCCGTGTCAGATGTGGACCTCAAGAGCCGGGGGCCATCCGCCACCCCGAGTGTTGCAAAGACTGGCAACAGCCTCCCAATATTTTACAGTCCTCTGCATGGTTCAGTGGTTATGTACTCCACCGGGCCACACGGGTGGTAATCAAAGTATGCCAGAAGATGTCAATGGTGAAGCAAACTATGACTCCAAGAATCAAGAATCTCGCCTGAGACTTCTGAGAACTCAATGCCGTTTTTACGAACTGAAGCAGCCGACTGAACTGAACAACCGCCAATGCCCAGCCCAGGACATGTCCACAAGAACATCGTTCTGCACCATCACCAAAAACAACCACATCGCTCCTGGCTTTCAAAAACACGCCATGGTGGCCCACTCCCGGATATTGGTTTGAGGACCCAGCTGGTGAAGCGCGAGGCTGGTAAAAGTTTGCAGACTTCGTCCAGAAACGCCGCACTGCGAAGGCCTGGGGCTGCGAAAGTCCAGCAAGGGCGCAGTCTTCAATGCTTTGGAGGACAACTGATTTTCCATGCTTGGGTGCATTTTGCAATGAGATAGCTTCCGGTGTTGGCATGCAAGGGTTCAATGGTTGCAAGAACCTTGGTCCGATCAAATCCAAGTTGTTGTTCCATTGTGTTCCCCAGCGCATTCACATTGCCTTCAAAACATCCGATCCACCCTCCATGGCAGAGTCTGATTCCTATTCCGAATACCTTGACCGCTAGTGACCTGGCCTTCCAATCCTAGCACTCCAATAGACATCCAGTATGCATGGAAACTAACTGCCGACTTGACCTTGGAGGACGATCAGTAAAGTTCAGGTGACCTGCGAGAAAGCACCTTGGCTTGTTCATGAATTCGTCCAACAACCACTGCCCGTGATCCTGGCGCCCTGGCCATCAGCAGCTTGTAGCTTGCCAACCAGGTCGGCTGCCTTCCCGGGCTCCAGCTTCGGCAGAAAAGAAGTGATCTGCTGCTGGAGATCCTACACGACGTGGCAAAGCGCAGTCTTAATGCAGCGATGGTAGATCCTACCAATCGTAAGTGTGTGTGTGTGTGCCAAAAAGAACCGTTCAAAACATTACACAGAACAGACTGGCCTAGCGATACAGCATGTGATGATAGCCCAAGCAGGTTAAAAAGTGGAGCTCCTCTTGCTTCGTTGTCAGGAAGACTGCTCCGTATAAAAAGAGTTTGCTTCGCAAATGTCCGTTTATCATTTATCTAAACAGGTCTAGTAAGTTTAATGCCTCTTGTAACAAGAAGTTCATCAAGGTGACATGCCACTTGAGGTTGCTGTTGAATCCTGTCTGCTTGTGCTATGATATACAATATACAAACAACACTGCATCGCTTTTGATGCTTGGTCAGGTAAGTTTGGGGAGAAAAGAAAAGCCAAGAGGACAAAACATGCGACTGTGTCCAGCTCAAGTAGTTCAAGGCAATTATGAGCAGCAACACCTGTGGGCTTGAACTAGGCAACGCTTCAGTTCTCAGTTCTGCTGTGCTTTGCTTCCTTTTGTTGGAGTGAATCATGTTGGTGCTGAACCCACACCCGCCCATCCGAAAAGTCCCTCAGCCAGCCTTACGGTCCTCGGACGGCAAATCAGCTCCTAGCAATGGAGAAAGGCTAGAAAAGGCTACATCCCTTGCTCCTGACAAAAGTGTACGTCAGTCAGTCTATCCTCAAAATGTGCATGATGTTTGTTTACCAATAAATGTCACTGGAAAGAAATAATGAAAAGGTCAGTGTTCTTCGAAAATATATCTCCAAGCCTTTTTCTGCCAAGCCAATCCATCAAACCTGCTTACCCTTTTCACCACCAGTGCGTTTGTACCAATGGTCGGTGCTCGGGAATGGGTTGTCGTCTTTGGGCAGCTTTGTGAGCGGAGATTCGCATATGGAAGGAGGAAAGACTGATTGAAGGAGGAGATCAAGGACCAAGTCAATTGTCAAGGTCTTCCAAAACTACGACAGAGTCGGGTGTTGCCCCAAGAAAACCCAAAAGGTTTTTGTAGTCAAATAGGGAGCCTCCCACGAGATCCCTGCGAAAAAGAGAAAAGGCGCCAAAGCCCATTCGTTTGTGGGGGACGGGTGCAACTTCTAATGCACGCCCCCTAGTGAAGAATGCGATGTAGACTATCGACTCTGGCCCCCGACTTGCTAGGCCTGCTGTGTCCAGCCGTTGCAAGAGGCTATCAAAGGGTGATAGCCTTGAAAGTTTGTGCCCAAGAATTGCAGGTGCACTTGGGCTAGTGAACTTAAAGTGGACAACTGGACAACTTCTGCTATCAATGGCCAATGGAAATCCACCCCTGCAAAGAGCTAGCCGTTGAAGGAGGCCGGACTCCCAATCGAAAACGGAATATGTTCCAACTAACTTGCATACGTGCAGCTAATGGACGATGACAAAGGCTAAATGTTGATTTGTGACGTGGTAATTTCAGAGTAGAGTAAAGATTGACGCTTGACTCTTGACTACTTGATTGATAGGAAGCCACGATCCAACCTGGGGTCGAACTGTTTCCATGGCACTTTCTGGCACAACATCGAGCTACTAGGAGCAAGGACGCTACTAGGGGCTCCTGGCCTTACTACTAGTAGCAAGAAGCTACTAGGAGCAAAGAGCATCGCACAATTTTTGCCCAGTTGCCCCTTCATGCTGAAGCCGGTGTGTCCACTGGCCCCACCTCCGATGGTAAAGGCCTGCAAGGACGCTACGGTACTTCTTCATATCGTAAAAACATTTAGTAGCTTCTTGCTACTAGTAGTAATGCCCTTGTTACTAGATCATGTCCTGTCCACACACGAAAAGGGAAGTCCATGTCTTGGAGACGAAAACAAGAGTTGTCCTTCCTAACCAAATGTGATTGGTGATGCCTTGATGGTCCAGGTGGTCAGAAATTGTATACAGTAAAGAAATGAAAACATGCTGAATATCCCGTGGTCCGCAAGTATTTGTCTGACGAAGCCCTTTAGGCAGTGGTCTGCTTGTTTGGCGTCCTTGTTACTAGTAGGGATGCCCTTATTACTAGTAGCTTCTTGCTACTAGTAGTAATGCCAGGAGCTACTAGTAGCGTCCTTGTTACTAGTAGCCTGAGAGGGTCGGCCTGCTGTAGTGATGCTGTGTCAACGGCTTTGTCGGAAGGCACTTTGCCCTTCGCGACGTTGCTTTGCGCCTGGTGACGGCCAAAGAAGCATCTCACCGTGCCGTTCCGGAGATGACAAACCGTCCAGGAATCAGAGAAGCTTAAAGAAGTCTCACGCTGCTTCGACTAAGAATCAAAAGAAGGCTAACTTGGTGCCGGACATAACTCAGCATCGTTGCAATCGAAGATGAATCTTTCTTTTTCACTTCGACCTGGCAGGCACACCGAGACGATGCATCAACACCCTAAGCTTTTTGAACCCACTATTTTTTGACCCCTATCGACTCCCTTAGAATCATCTGCAATCTTGGACAACAAATCTGAAGCTATTGATTGTTCGAGTCACGGAGCAACCAATGTGTATTGAAAAAGGATGGTGTATATGTGTATTGTATCTACTAATACATTCAGTTCATTGTGTTTGTTTTGTGGTACACCGTCTCAAAACTCTCCGAATTGCCCATCTGCCTCTGGCAGTGCAGGTTGAATACCACCTTAGTTGGTCAACAAGCACCGTGTAAGAAAATGAATTGTGGGTCCTCATGCAAATGGCAAAAGGATGTAAATTGGCAACTCGTGGGATAAGGATGGATATTTTTTCCGGGATTCTTTTTCGGGAAATGTAAATTTGGCCAGGACAGGACTAGACCACAGTAGTGTTCTTGTCCAATTTGGAGGTGTGACCGCCCTAGATAAGTCCTCCTGGAGTGAAGGATCAGCGATCCCGCAGCGGGCATCATTTTGGATGCTTTGTTCCAACACTGGGGATGTCCCAACTATCGCCTCCGAGCCCCTTGCCATTGGTCTCCGCCTCCTGCCAATAGCAGTGTCCCACTCATGCGCTCAACTTTTCCGTTGATAGAAGCTGATCTGAAACATTGAAAGGTAGAACAGACCTGGCCAATCCCGTATCTCACCATATTATAATGTCTTGTGTTCTTGTTGAATTATTGTATTTTAGTTTTGTAGTTTGTCAGGCCCAGATGAGGGTGACAATGACCAAGATGATGATGACGACGGCGATGATGATTATGATTCTATTATGATTGTAAAATATTGTAAAGTCAAATCACCATACAACGGTAACAGCATTGATGTTTTCCCAACAAACGCTCCAGGGATTGTATCTGTGAGTTGTGTAAATGATGTATTAGATGGCCAATGGTGGTGGTTCGAGCAATGTCCAATGGTCTTTTCGTGCTTCTTTCTGGCCACTTGGCATTCTTTGAGCCGTTTCTTTGCCTGTTTCCCTCTATCTTGTTGAGGTCTTTCTTGCAGAACGGTCAAGTCATGCTGTCCCTGACTGCAAAACAGTTTGGGAAATTGAATCTTCAAACATTCCGTGTTGAGCTGCGCAACAGCTACATCCATGATGACCCATGTGCCTCTGACGCAGCAGCTCCTGGCAATTGGTCAGGTTGTGCAACAGTGACACAAGCCGCTCCTTAAGCAAAACGTGTTGGCTGAGAGAACGTGTCACTCAATGCTTTGCGCGTCTCCTCCATCATTGACCTCAACCTGTGGCGGCTGGTTGTTTCGCCCGACTTGGAAGCAAACATCTAAGTTTGGCATGTTGACATCCCGAGAAAACAACTGGTTCGGTCTCATGTTTGGGATCCCCTGTCTTGGATCCCCATATGGATGAAACTCTTGCCTGACAAGAATAGTAAATCATGTGGACAAACAAGTCGTATAGATCGACTTCTGGTACGTAAGTCTATCTTGACCATTCTTGACCCACAGTGAAACGGTTGCGTTCCAAGTTAAACTTGATGCAAGAAGCTGCTCATCAACCAGTTAATCTTCAGTTGTTTGTCGGTCACTTGTGCTTCAATCCCTGGTGCTTTGGATTGCCCTCCAAGAGCTCACGTATTCAGCACGTTGCCCGAATCCCACGCCTCGGCTGGAGCTTCAGCTGCCTTGGCAAAGGTTGATGACGGAGAAAAAGCGCCATGAAACTGGGAGTCAAGAATTATCCAGACGTTTCCAAAGAGCTGAGAGAATGTTTGTTATATATATATAGAGAGAGAGAGTGTGTGTAGAAATGAGAAACTGCAACCTCCTCCGATCGGATGATGGAGTCAATGTCCACCCTATTACCGCACGGGATCACACAGGCATCGGCATGTGTGTTGAAGGTGCTAAGATGGCTTGCAAAAGAGTCCTTCTGAGCACCAGGCAGGAGCTACTTCCGCCGCAGGTTCTAGAGTTTCTTCCTTAGTCCAAACAGCGAATCTGCCAGCTTTGACAGCGCCATGAAACGTGACAGCTCCAAAGCCGCTGCACTCGAGGGATCCCAAACCGCTCGAAAACCACTTTGAAGGGATCCCACTGTGCTTCAGATCACTTCAGGCGCGGACCACAGCGGCTGAAGGCTTCTTGGGCTCCGGTGGTGGTGGAGGCGGCTCCTCAATGGTCCCATCAGCAGCTTTTTGGGCCAGGCGCTTTAAGGCATCCTTGTCGAATGCTGCTGGCTCAGGCACAGTGGAAGGCTGCTCCTCTGACGCCAAGCGAAGCAAGCGAAGCACAAAGTGCAAAGCGAAGCGAAGTGGATGAACGGTAATCATCACACGAAGCGTGGAACTGGACGAATCCTCTAGTGAAGTCCCAACATTCAGAGACCCGCATAGAGCATTGAATGCATGGAATCGTTAAAAAGGGATGAAAAAGGGCGAAGAAGCATGCAGAAGCTCTGCCACAGCACCCCCGCTCCTCTTCTGCTGGCGCATAGGCGGCATTCATGGCCGCATTCATGCGCGCAGAGGCCGCCAGGTGTGCATACAAATCAAGCGAGCCGAGCCTCGAACACAAAACAATCTCCACAGCCCACTCGCCGGACAACATCAATTTCTTCAGGACGCACTTTGGAGTTCTTAACAACCACAACCACAACCAACTAATAATATTGACCACAGTAGATGGGCAAGACATTCAATCCCTGAGTCAGTAGCTGTCAAAACCCCTTACCCCCGAAGTTAAATGATGAATGCAACTTCTTTTGATTCGCCTTGCCAGGTTTTGCTTTGTTTCGTCCATCCACCCAAACACTTTGACAGGCTTGCTAGCATTGAAGTTTGCGGTGCGGGGGGGTGGAGGGAGCTCTAAGGTTTTGAATAAGTCGTCCACTTTCCTCAACTACCACGCTCTTTTGTAAGTGGCTTGATTCAGGTTGCTGTCGAGTAACGGCTGAGCACCTGGAGCAGCTGGAGGGGCTGCACCTTGTCTTGCTGCAGCAATGGCCGCGGTGATCGCTGCGATCTGCGGAGACCTCAATATGGCTGCAATCTCGTCCAGCAAAGCCAAAGCCCATGTTTCCAAACCGCTTACTTCAAGAACTTGTCTACAAAATCCTCAAAGCCTCAAATCACGTTGCTGGTCACATCTGTCACATCTGAAGTTGGCCAGTTTCTTGGCAGTGAACGTTGTCTTTCAACGTGTCTTTCAACATTCGAGGTCGGCCAATCCCCACTCACCCCAA